AATTGTAATTAAATATAATATAATATAGAATATACAAATATTTGATATATAATGAGGCAGCTGATAAAAAAAAAATTCTATTCTTTATATTATGTCTTTTTTGACAAATCTACAGTTAAGAACATGTGAAAAAACAAGATAAAAGTTTAAAAACAATATTAAATATAAGAAATAATATGAATAATAACTAAGTTGTGACACATACTAATAAATATAAAATAAACTAATAAACAAAAATAATATAATTTATATAACTAAATATAAACCTTCTAAAAATAACTTACCGATGTAATCGAACTGAATTGTTAAACGCTTGTTACTTTTTTGTTCTTACTAATTTTATTTGTAAATTTGAGGTGATAGACAATAGTTATTTGTACATTTATACATATAGATTAGAAAAAAATCTTTATTATTCTAATTTTAAGTAACTTTTTTATTTACTATAATAGTTTTAGTAATATAATATATAAGTATCATATTGAACAGATAAAACAAGAAATATTTTAATTACATAATATTTAATATGTAAGAAATGTAACTCAATTGGTAGATGTTGTTATATGATTTTGTAACAACAAAAATGTACATCCCCTTTTGTGAATAGGGGGTATAGAGTTTATAGGAATTTGTAGTGATTTTTGGTAATTTTTTGTAAATTGGATGAAGAAATAAAACGAAGATCAATTATAGGAAAATAAAAGAATGAAGAAGATGAGCCTCCAGCCCCTGCACCGCCCTCTCTCTATTTCAGATAAAACTGAGAATAAAAGTAAGAACCCCTCCGACCTTATCTCCTTATGTCCATCATTGGGGATATTTATATACGTTTTCTGTCGGCCCGATATTATTACAAGCGGTATTATTCTTGGGCTTTAATAATAAAATAAAATATAATAATTGATTTAATGTATATCCACATGATTTAATATATATATATCCACGTGGACTATCTTAATAGGCGAGGCCAAAATTAGGTAACAACAGTAGGCCCCCGACTTTAGAATACGTTCTGAATAGAACTGTTCTGAAGTCGCATGTAAAATTAATTTTGGCTGACTTATGCTTTATAATATGTCTGAATGCTGTGACATATGGATGTTGTCTAGGTGCTTTGAGACCCATAGTCGGCTTATTGCTCGTGTTCAGGCTTCGGCCTGATGTGTTAATGCTAATGGAGTTGACTGCGTGGATAGTCAACTTTTTTAGATTGCTATATAAATAGAGACCTGGATGGCCTAGTCGGGTAATTTGGTACCCAGTTTTCGCGTTTTGCACATAATATGACGCATTTTAATAGATTCGCGTCCGTAATGATGACTTTGTTTGAGTGTTCGGGCTCCATGACATTGTAATGGGATTCGCGATTTTGATGTCGTATTGAGACGACACGATTTTTTTTTATTTTTCGTATTAATGTGGACCTGGTCGGATAATTCGTTATCCGGTCCTCGGTTTGATTTTTATTGAATTATTGCACGGTCGGGTAGTGCTCCCGATGTTTCATGTGATTTTAAGAAAGGCGTTAGCCTCGCCAAACCAACTTCAGGGTTTGGAAAAGATTGGGCGTATAGCCTTGCCAAACCAACTTCAGAGTTTGGAAAAGAAGTATTCATGCCAAGATGTATGTATGACGCGCGTATAGGATGAATGTATGAATGAATGTATGTATGAATGTATGGATATATAATAAGCACGTGCGGGAAATAATTACGGTACGATAAATGATATTACCTCGATGTTTTGTCGAGTCTGACTTTTTTGCCGGTAGGTGCTGTGCCTTGCCGGAATATTATTCGCACCAAATCAACTTCAGGATTTGGCAAAAGAACA